AATACCATAGAAAGAAACTTGGTGTAAGGCACCACCTTTTCTCGCTGGCGCTTGTTCAGCTTCAGCACCAGGTCATCGAAAATGACCGCAGCATAATTTATATTACGACACTGAATCGCAGAGACGCCTATGATCAAGGCAATCCTGGAGGCATGTTCCTGACCGCCAGTTTTTCCACCCATGCACTGGATGAGAAAACAGGTATTGCCAGACGGCTGATATCCTGTTTTTCTCAATCTTCGTGGGGGATTTGAGAGGAGCACTGGAGTCCTTCTTCATTGGCCACTGGTAGTCAATGGCGTCGAGGAAAGAGATGATCTCGGTGGTGGAGGGTTCGCTATCTAAGGGACCCCTGGGAAGACGGAGAGCTGATCGGAGTGTAGAAACCCCAAAGTTCACTTCCATGCGGTTGAAAGTCAAGTGGATTTGCTCCATAGTGCGTCCAGCTTCGTCTTGGACCTCGACCACCTCAGCAGTGTACCAGAACTGCTGGAGAAGTTCCTTAACCATGAGAGGCTCATGGTTGAGAGCATATCCAAGGGACGACTGTTTGAGGAAGTCCTCCGCCTCTTGGTAAAAAGCTCTGGTGGAGGGTATCTCTAGAAAGGCAATATGGTTGTTGACCTTGATAGAGATCTCATCAATGGTGAAGTTGACGATCTTGGCAGCCATCTGTATATTGTTAAAAAATAACATAAACAGGAAGGAGGGTTAGAAATATACCAAGAGTATATGGTCAAAAAGTATAGAAAAAGTTTTTAAACAAGGAAAAACTTCATTTGAAAATTCCTTAAAAAATTAGGGTTTTTCAAGTAGAATGTGTATAAAGAAACATATTTGTTAATCAAGAAGGAGATGATTAAAATTTTTTACAGTTTAATGTATTAAGAGAAHAAAGTTCTTAATAAGATTAAACACATTTCTTTAAAATGTAGAAGAAAAGAAGATTATGACCTTTGAAAGTGAAGAGGAAAGGTCGAAAAAGAGGTTTGAAGAGAGTGTTCTTGCTTTGGAGTAATCTTAGCAGAGGTTCGTCTAAAGATTTTGAAAGCGTAAAGAGAAAAGTGAAGAAGAAATCTCATATTTATAGGTAAGAGGAGAAAGAGAAGAAATATGAGAGAGAAAAAGACGACGGTTCGGGAAAGTGGTCATGATGAAAAACAGGCCACGTTCTCAACCACGATTGGATGGCATTTAATGAGGTAGCGTAATGACAGGTCATTTTGCGCATCTCAAAGCGTCGCTCATAGTAAACAAAGAATGTCATCATAAAGACGATGCATTAACTATTCAGTCAAAAAGTACTGAAGGACTTCTTTTAAAACATTTTATCACTAAAAATGAGAAATTATTCAGTGATGGTTTTAAGACATCGTGTTTTAGTGAAAAGAGTCACTGAAACTGGCATTTAAAAAACTTTTTGATCACTGAAGAAAAGAGTCAGTGATCTTTTAGATTTCTAAGATAAGTATAAAGATATACTTTCAGATGTGGTGTGTTGAGAATCACTGAGACCACCTTTTAAAACATTTTAT